GGGGAGCAGCGGGGTCGGCCGCGCGCGGGCGGGATGTGTGGCCCGAGGGCGCGGCGCGGCGCAGGTGGAGAATGATGCAGGTGCAGCGCACGTCCTGGAGGGGGCGGGGCCTCGGCGAAGATGCGATGAGGGAAGAAGGCAACGCGAGGGGAGAGAGCATCTGGTACACGATGATATACGGCGTCAGACCAAACCATTTCCAGGAGGGAATAAACTCGCCGATATACTTTCAGTTGTTCGGATGAAAAGTATATGAAATATACGCCAAGGCGACGGGCCTTACTTGGAATTTATTTCGGTTGAATTGGACTGAGAAGACCAGCTATTCTACAGAACAAGCACGCTCCAATAAGCTCAGCAACGTTTTAAGTGGGTTTCGGCGATGAAAAGTTGAATTTTTGAATGATACGTGCATTTGACGTAGCTAATTTTCATGTTTCTGGAATTGAAGCTTATCATTGTTAGCATTCCATCACGAGAGAAATAAAAATGGATTGAAAATGCGATATAAGCCCTACAAGTTTGTAGGGTTCTAGAAACCATACTCACGAGTTCTTCATTGCACAATAAGTAATAAATGCGAAGAAAAGGGATAATAAAATTAATATAAGGTTTATTGAAAAAAATAGACGTTGGACAATTTTTTACACAATGTGCTTAATAAATTATTGGTAAGGTAAAATTATCGACTTTTCAATGATTTAAAATAAAACAACAAATAATAATGGATGTATTGACAAATAATCATGTAAAATAATAATGTATAATAGTCGCATATGCAGCACTGAAAATATTCAGTAGCAAGTTCTTGTACCGGTATTTAAAATTTTAAATATGAGGGTTTCGGAAGTCACTACTCAGTTTATGAAATGCACAAAAAATATCAAATGTTTTCAAAACCATTTTATTCAATTGTCATTTTTATTATAACAAAGTATTTACTGAATTCAAGAGAACTACTAAGAATATCTTCTATTAATTTTGTTTCCAAAATTCCGAATTTTCGACTGAGTCACAGGTCCATAAGACTAATAACACTTGTTAAAATTGTTCTCACTTCCAAAGGGCAATTAAAAATTGAGAGAATCATCGTTACCCATTACAGAAGCGTTGCAAGCCATAGACGAGTTAAGAAACAAAATGAATCGTAGGGTGAATCTATAAGAAAAAAGTTAGAAGGCGCTTAGGCGAGAGCGCACGTTCCGCGGCCGGAGTCAGTATTTAATTGGCTGTTCGGGTAACGCCGCGTCCATGGCGAAGGTGCCGACGTTTCGGTCGCCATTCTGCGACCTTCCATGGCAATTTCACCCTGAGGAAGGTCGCAGAATGGCGCCCAAAACGTCTGCACCTTCGCCATGGACGCGGCGTCACCCGGACAGCTTAGTAAATAGGCGCTTAGGCGTTAGATTTCAAGGTCATAGCAACAACAGGTCGTGTTTTCTGCAGAGAAAAACACAAGAACGAAGGAATTCTTTGACCATTTGACCATTTGACCATTTGGCCATTGGCCATATGACCATTTGACCATTTGACCATTGACCAATTGACCAATTGACCATTTGACCATTTACCCATATTACCATTTGACATTTGACCCATTTACACTTTTGACCAAAAATTTGGACCATTTGGACCTCTTGACCAGTTGACCATTGAACCATTTGATCATTTGCATCATTTGACCATACTGACCATTTGACCATTTGACCATTTGACCATTTGATCATTTAATGGAACGAGGTTTCTCCGCTTTCAAGCGCATTTTAACAAAAGGCAGAAAAGGGTTTACACTTGCGAATCTTTTAAAGTACAACATTATTCAGTATCATTCCAAGTGTGAAAAATGAGTACTGATAAAAAATATATATTCCAAAAATACTATAAATTCCTAAATTAAAAATATAACATCTTACAAAATTCTAATATACTGATAGACATACCCTAATTTTAAATTTTTAAAACATAAAAATCATGGGCTTAGAAATAACAAATAGAAAAAAATCTGAAACAAAAAATAGTATCCTCTACTTCGTGGTTTAATGAAATGATTGCGGTAAAAGCGTATGCATCTTCACGGAAGTCTTTGAATACAAAGTTTACAACATTCAGATAGGTACCTAATCAATGAATATTTTTCTAAGAAGCAAAATTTAATAATCTAATTCAGTAACACTGCATTGAAATGCCCTTAACGTTGCAGGGTTCATATCAAAGCGCAAAGGAAGATGAAGCGGCAGGCCGGCCACCGCCGCTCGTACTCACTCTGTGCCGGGTCGCCGCCTTCCCTGTACAGGTCGTCGAAGTGCAGGTCCGTCACGTGCCAGAAGTAGCCTGCAACAGCACAACAGAAGACGGGGGTGAGCGCTCGCGTCCGGGGTGGCTGGTCTGTCTCAACCCCCCCCTTCTCCTCCTCCTCCCCGGCCAGCGCCTTCCCCGCCGAGCCGCGCCCCCTCCCCGGTTCCCTCGCGCCGCGCTTCGCATCGCGCGTGCGCGAGACTTCATAAGCAGCCGCGAACGACCGTGCATTCGCTCCGCCGCCTCTGCGCTCTCTGGTCCGCCTCAAATCGCCAACGCCCACCTCTTTTCGCCCCCGCTCCGCCGCCCACATCTCTCTCCTCCGTACCTCTCCGCCCCCGCCCCCCCCCTTTGTCCGTCATACGTCACGCCACTGACCGCCCCTCCCGGTTTCGCCTTTCGCCACTCGCCCCTTCGCCTGTGTGCCCAGT